GGGGGAGTACGAGAGGGTGTGGAGGTGGGTTTGGGGGGTTCCTGAGGAGCTGGGTGGGAGCTGGGAGCAGAAGGACAAGGGAGGGTTTTTTTGGGGGGGAAAAGCGGCGAAATTGAGGAGGGGGGTTAGCGGGCCTGCCCAGACCCTTGGGACCGATGGGGCGAGGGGCAGGAGGCCTGGAGGGGAGCGCAGGCGGCTTGAGCCGGGGCGTGGAGAAGAGCCCTGGAATTCGGGGCGAGGCCGAGGGCAGGGTAGGGATGGGGCTCTGCCTTCCCCCGAACCCTCCCCGGCCTAAAAATAGTCAAAACTGTGGGTTATGGGGTATCGCACCGTGCTGGGTGTCAGGGGACCTTACGGAAATCTCTTATTCTCGTGCAGCATCTTTCACCGGAGGATCCCGGCATGCTTAGCTGAGTTGGAAAAGAGGTTTCTCTTCCTCGCAGGTAGGAAACGGAGACAAAAATCATTTGCTGGGAGAAGCTCTTTCAGCCCAGGGCTCCCGTCACCATGTGTCACTCTTCAAAAGTCTTTATTCTGCGCGTGCGCTTTGCGGTCGGATACCGGAGAAGGGTCTTGCTACTCCAGAGTGTGTGTGATGCTCTTCCCCGAGCGCGGGAGGGAGGAGAACTGGGAGTAAAAAACGCGATCGCCGTCGCGATTAGGTGCTGGGAGAAACGCTGTTGGAGCCTTCTGCTGCTTTCTGGGTGTGGAGAACGGGTCAGTCCTCTTGGTGACATTCCGGCTGAGCGGGAGCGGGTTGCAGGAAGCGCAGGAAAACCTCCAGGAATTGTGGTTTTGGTGTCTTTTATCTGCACGCTCAGCGCTGTGGGGTTTCATACACCTGTCGGCGTCCGCAGAATGCTTCTCCCCACCCGGTGGCGAGGTGGGTTGAGCTGCAGAGCCCTGGGGTGGATTTTTCCGGGGTCTCAGGTGTTTTGGAAGCAGCTCTAACTCCCCTGTCAAACACCAAACCCCTCAAAAACGTTTTTTTTCCCCAGTTTTGGCACCTCAGGAGGAGGGTGAGACTAGAAATCGCCGTCTCCCAACTCCTCCGCGGTGCTCCCGTGGCCGGAAAGGTGGGGCAGCGGTGCCACACTGGCCCAAACTGGTGTTAGTGGGGCCAGTGTATGTCCCCGCAGGTGTGATTTTTGGGCTGTGAAATTAGGAATTTGTGTAACTCCTTTCCCTGCACCTGCGTGTTTGCTTGACTGAAGGTACCCGCGGCTGGAGACGAGCGCCCTTGCGCTTCGTTTTCCGCCTGTTCCCGTCACCGGTGGCGCTTTGTCGAAGGGGGACGAGAACAAAAATGGGGAAAGGTTTAAAATTAGGGGTTTTTTTTTGCTGCGCTTTTGCTGTAATTTACTGAGTTTTGCAACATTTAACCGAGTGGGCTGCAGGGCCGCGGCGGGACTCTGACAACGCCCTACGTGGTGGGTTCATAAATAACTGCAAATTGGATTTTTTGGGAATAAGCTGCGGAGCACGGTGGTGGGGAAGATGCGACCGTCCTTAGAGCTGTGGAAAAAAAGGAGAAAAAAAAAAAAAAAAAGGTTTTAAATAAAGCTCTAAAGTTTGAGCAGCGGCCAAAGAATTAGCTGCTGGCTGCCAGTACAAACATTAACTAATCCTGGCAGCCTTTTAAGGCAAGTATCGTTAGTTTTGGTTAAGAAATGAACCTGTTGGATGTATGGTTTGTCCCCGGCGCAGGTTGAGGGAGGTTTTTCTGGGAAATGCTGATAAATGCCACGTAGAAACAGGACTAAACACAGTACCCGGCTGCGTGGAGTCGTTTAACCACCCTCAGAAAGATCCCTCCGAAACCTCCCGGCTCTGCTGCTGCGGTTCCCAAATAAAGCTAATTAATCAGAACTCGTTTGGGCGTTGTCATAGCGGCAGAAGTTTCCAGGGAAGGTGCCGGTGGGGTAACGATGGCTCAGGTTGCGTTTCACCTCCACCAAGTGGAAACTTTGCTGCTCTTGTTCCTCCTCCCGCGTCGGTCTGGGTTCCCCAGTTATTTTCCGGATACTCGTTACCTTTTATTCCCGTTTGCGGAGGGGATGTTTATTTTCCCAGCACTTATCAAATCTGCCAGAAGGAAGCCAGCTTTATAAAAAAATAACAATAAATAAATAATCACGGGGTTTTGCTCCGCACCGTTCCGCGCGCTTTGCGGCCGCGCTGGTGACTCGTTGGGTGACGCGGGGGCTCGGTGATGGCACGTCCGTCCCCGTTTAAAAGGTGGAAATTTTGCCTCTGATACCTCCAGGGGCTCGCGGAGCGGATCGGCACGGCCCAAAACCCGCCCGCGGTGCGTGAGGAAGAGGAGGAGGAGCGGATAGGGAGGGGATTGGATCGGGAAGGGTTTGGGGTGGGGCAGCCCCGGAGCGCGGGCGCGGAACGTCGCTGCGATGTGTTCTTCGATCCCCCCGACTTTTCTGAGGAATAATCGAGGAATCGGGGGGGTGTTTGGCAGAGGGGGCGGGAGGGGAGGAAGCGTAAGCTGACGGTTCCACCTTACTTGGAGCTTTCACGGCTGGTTTGGCGCTGCTGGAGAAGACACGGTTCCCTCCGAACACCGGCGGGACGTTTTCCTTTCCATGCTCTCATCCCAGCATGGAAAAGAGCAGCTTTTATCTCCCCAAATCCAGAGGGAATTGCCCCAAACCACGCTGCCAATTTCCGTGGCCTTTTCCCAGCCGAAACGAGCGTCTGGAAGAGAAGGAACGGGGCCGACGTGCCGGCGGGTCCCGTCCGAAATCGCCGGCTGCGGGGCCACGTCCTTGGCGCTCGGATGGAACACTGCGGCCCCCGAGGTCCCGCCGGGCTCAGGGAGAAATCCCAGGGATGTTTTCAGGGCTTCTCGGCAGCCTAATTACCGCCACGTCGTTTTTTAGTTAATAAAACCCGATTTCTCCTGAGCTTAGGGGAGGAAGGGAGGAATATTTGACGCCCGCCTCGCGGATCGAGCCGCGGTCGGTTTGCGGGACGCGGGTGCAGCTCACGTTGCCGAACCAGTTTCCTGAAAGATTTGCCCTTTATATTCTGATGAATTGGCAATTGGATCATTTCTGATTAATTTTTGATTAAGTCTTCAGCCCCTTGCGAGCTCTTTCTGCAGCTTTAAACCACCCACTTCGAAGCTTTTTCTCCCCGTGTACGCGATTCGGGTTGCAAGTTTCTCGCTTGGTTTTCGGGCGCTCGTCACAGACGGCCGATGTTTAATTAACGATTATTTTCTCTAATAAAGTTGGACGTAATGAAAGCGTAATTCTTCTGAACCGTGCTCGCTCCGCTCTTCCTTTCCCCGTGTCGTGCACTTACACGGTGCAAATAAGCTATAATTTCTGTAAATGATGTAAGGGGCTAATTAAAGGTTTTACTCAACTAATCAGCTTGCACTTTAATTAGCACCAAATGGTAATTGCTTGCTGAAACATAAATTGACTTCTTATGGGAGCCACCAGCCTGCTCAGGCAGGGCTGTTGGGAAAGGGGCACCGGGGTTGCTCTGCCTCCCGTCGAGGAAGCCCAGCTTCGTTAACCCCCACGCCACCGCCGATGTTAATGAGTCGTTACCGAAGCCCTAAACTCCTGCTTTCACCTTCCCGCCGTCCGGGTGGGCAGCACCCAAACGGGTCGTTAAATCTCTTGGCCCGACGCAGCGGGGAGCGTCGGCTGGCTTGGTACCCGCTCCCGAGTTTTTTTTATTTCCCCGAAGCCAACTCGGCTACTTGCCCGGGAGCCGGTGGCTGCTTGCCCGCTGCATTGTATGAACGTGATGGTGGTTGTTTTACCATCATTAACACCACGTCGGGGCCTTTCCAGCCAGTGGAGGGGGAGCTGAGCGCCGCTCGCTCTCTGAATACGCCTCCAAATCGCCTCCTGGCACCCGCATCCCGTCGCCGGGCCGCAGCCTCCCGGCACAGCGAGAACACGTGTCGTTATATCGCCGGGCGGAGCCGGGGGAAGAGCTGGGGATGACCGTGGCAGTCCCGGTTCAGCATTCTTGACGTGCCTCGCTCCCCTCCTGGCTTGGAGAAAACCTTACGCTGGAAAAAAAAAAAAAAAAAAAAAA